ACACCACTGGCCAAAGGCCAGCATTCTGAAGGTATCTGGAGCTGAACGTGGTCCCGGTACATTCAAAATGTTAGCCTTCGGCGGGTGGTACCGCGAGCCCCTTTCTTTCTTTAATCCAGGAACAAAAATTGCGGGTCAGGGGGGGGGAAACAAAAAAAAGCGGGGATGATAGGAGGGTCTAGAGTGATGCCCTGTGCGCAGGCCGCAGGTGAGCGAATGACGAACAATCATGCTGCATGCCTGGAGGGGGGGGGGAGGAGGGGAGGGGAATGCCTGCAGGGGTGGGGTAGATACCACGGTACGACGGGTATTCCCCCTACACCTTTTTCTTTTTTCGCTTGTTTTTCTTTTTTTTTTTTGTGTGTGTGTTCAAACAAGATATGCCGTTGGTCCCCCCGAGTTGGCATTGAGCAGAGACTGCTGATGTTCATAGGGGGAGGGACCAGAGGGGAGGCACAGTGACTGGCCCATGGAAGAAGCTCAGTCCTGATGCCACCGGCTGACCCCTGGCCGGTATCGCCCACCTGCTGTAGCAGGTATGGCACCTGCTGGTGGATGCAGCTCCCACATGTTCCCTCGTTGGAGGCTTGAGCACGGATGTGGCTGCTACGGGTTCCCCGTAATACTATATATAATGACAATAAAAAGGCCTGAAAGGCCGTACTGTCCAGATTCGACAGGTATTTGAATTGGTTGGGCTTAAAAGAAGTAGCCTTTAATAAAAGGCCGACTCAGTATGACTCTGGGGCCGAGGTCCCACTAACAGAGAGGATTGGATTAAGCGCCTGAATCTGGATGAGTTGTAGGCAGGGATGCAGAAAAGGAGATCAATAGCCATTTTCTGCACCTCTGCTCAAACACGTCCAGATTCAGGCGTTCAGTCCAATCTTCTTTGATGGTCGGACCTCGCACCAGCAGTTCTAAATACAGCAGCCTCCCCGTTGGAGTGGTTAAGGTATCCGGCTCCTGAACTACCGTCTTCTCCCGAATAGAACGCACAACGATCTTTGTAGCTCTAACTTCTTTTTTTTTCCTTTTTTCTTTTTTTTTCCTTTTTTCTTTTTTTAATGGTCCGATGAAGCTGTACCTTTTCGGGCAGCTGTCGGTCTAGATGCAGCGATAATGACCGTGTGTTCTATTCGGGGGAGGACGGTGGTAGCCAGGCAGAGATCGCCAGTTCCATACGTTCGGGCCAACGATTTGAGTGGTTAAAAAACAAAAACAAAAATAATAAATAAATAAATAAAATGAGTGGTTAAGCCATCCGACTCCTTGAGCGAGCCCGCCAGCCAGCCAGACAGACACAGATCGCAGGTTCGAGCCCGACCAGAGTCAGATCGAATGAAAAGGCACAGAACAAGAGAAGAGCGGTGAAGATGCTGAAGGGCCTTCCACCGCAACAACAGATGAGCCGCAAAGAAAGACACGAAAGTGCAACAAAGAGTTTTGTTTGTGTACATGCACGATATTTTTTGTGTACATTCATGATATTTTCGTCTACATTCACGATATCTTTGTATTCATTCATGATTGTTTTCTTAAGATAGTTTTCTTTTTGTGTACATTCACACGAGTCGTGATAAGCTTATTTTTGTGTACGTTCATGTGGATCACTCTGAGGGGACGTCCGCTGCCGTCGTCCCCCCGAATGCATGCAACGCACCCTCATCATGACTGTATCGGACCGAAAGAAAGAGTTTTCTTTGTGCATATTCACGATATTTTTGTGTACATTCATGATATTTTTGTGTACATTCATGATATTTTTTGCGTACATTCACGATATGTTGGTATACATTCATGATTGTTTTCTTAAGATAGTTTTCCTTTGTGAACATTCATGCATCGTGATAAGCTTCTTTTGTGTTAATTCAGCATCAGTGTGTGGGCTGTGTTCAGGGGAAGACGATAGAGCGAGGTATAGATTTTTTTTGTGTGTGTGTGTTTTTGGTGTGCATTCATAAATCACGATAGTTTTTTGTTCGTTTTTTTTTTTTTTGTGTGTGTACATATTCAGCATCAGGCTGTGTTGTGTTCGGTGGAAGATGGTAGAGCCATGCCTTGTTACGTAATCCAGCCACCCCCCATCATCAGGGAACAGCTCACGGACAAGGAACGACCATGTACCTTGCTACCTTGAGCAACAAAAAAAAAAGGGAAGGTTGTTCGTTACGTACGTGTACATATCACATTTTTTTGTTTGTGTGCATTCATGAATCTTGATAGTTTTTTTTGTGTAAATTCAGGATCAGGGTGTGTTGCGTTCGGGGCAAGATTGTCGAGCCATGCATCCCGTCCCCGCCGATCATCAGAGGAGAAAAGCCCAAGCACAAGGAGCAAGCATACCTTGCTAGAGGTTAAAAAGGGGAAAAAAAAAAAAAAGGGAAGATTGTTCGTTATGTACGTATACACACGCATAAATCGAGAAATGGTCCAAATTAAAAAAATATATTAAAAAAAAAAAAGTTTAAAAAAACGATCCGCGGGAAAAAGATAGATTCTGGAAGATCGACCACGAGAAGCGACTACCCCCGTCCCCTAAACACACGCACCCTGATAACAAGTGTATACAAGCTATCTTTCCAGTCCGGTGCAGATGAAATGAGGGTGCGTTGTGTTCGGGGGAATACCGTACCCCCGTTCCCCCGAAACAAGACGCACTCTCTCATGACGACTGTATTGGACCGCAAAGTCGGCTCGTATAGATTGATTATGAGGGTGCGTTGTCTTCAGGGGAAAGCAGTGGGAGTAGGAGTAGGCTATGGAAAAGGAGCATAATGAATGATGCGAGCATAAAACAGCGCACTACAATAACCATAACAGATTCTTTTGGAGATACCAAATCTTGGTCCTCTTCTTTGCTAAGTGGGATTTAAAGGGATCTCGTCGTCCAACCAATTATGCTGCTCAAGCTACTGCTGAGAATGTAGTGCGTGCTGCAATTCCTTTCGAGCAGGAGGAGGAGGCGCAGAAGGAGGAGGGAGGAGGAGCAGGAGGGCGAGGGAGGAGGAACAGGAGCGGAGGAGGAGATGGCGGAATGTTTCTTCGTGGCGTTGTGTGTCATGACTTGGCCGCAAGGCGAGGGACGTGTGGAAAGCCCCCTGAAGATGATCGGAGCGCAACCGATCGAAACGCGTCGGGGATTGTGCGCGTGAGCTGAGATGAGTATGCGCGGCTATGTATTGATGAGCTTTCGAAGCGTGTACGTAAGGCAGTTGGCCACTGTTTCCACTATTCTTCTTCTTCTTCTTCTTCTTCTTCTTCTTCTTCTTCTTCTTCTTCTCCACCTCCTCCTCCTTCTCCTCCTCATCCGAGCAGCTAGCGAGGTACTTGTGTCCAGCCCGCCCCCTGCCTTCTTACCCATATATCACGGGAATCGTGATTCCGTTGCACGCCGTTCCGTTAAGTACACAGCTTTCCTCCGCTACCATCCAGCATGTTCTAAAGTCCCATCGTCACGCAGCTTCTGGAGCCCCTGTAAGATAGGTAGAAGTGAATGCTCATACCATCACTTCTAACTGTCGAGAAGGGGTTAAAAAAAAAAACGGCTTGGCAGCTTCGGATGTGTTCCTGTCCTTGTCCCCATCATTGTTTTTCTTTTTTTTTTYTTTTTTTTTCCTTCTTTTTTGTTGTTGAACAAGGCTCCAATCTACTCGTGTGGAGCAGCACGTGCTCGGAACCGGGCCCAGCGCCCTCGTCCCCATGATTGTTTTTTCTTTCTTTTTGTTTTCTTGTGCCCATCATTGTACGGGGTGCATGCGGAGGTGAACATGCCACGTAGGATGGTGCTTCTGAAGTAAATGCCACGTCAGATAGAAGTCGAATTAAATGCCTCTGGAGCGGGACGTCGCGCGTTCGATCCTTGTGGTCGACTCGTGCTTGGTCTATGCTTGCATGCATGCATCCTTGCATGCATGCATGCTTGCATAAATGCCACGTCGGTCCTCAAGTAAATGCCACGTGAGACGAGAGTTGGGAGGCGGTGCAACGTTACACTCCTGCCTGCAGTCCCTGTTCTCTAAACGAGGAGAGAAGGAACATCATGGAGTCTCCTTTTAAAGAGGGGGGTGTGAAAAACTAGATGGAGTCCCTATCCACTCCCTTCATCTTGGGATTACGTGAAGACCGCTGCGCACTTTTTTTTTCTGGCAATATTGGACACGTGGCAGCACAACATTAACTTGTGCTTCCCCACGTGGGGGACACGACTTGTTCCAAGGTCTTTTCCCCGTTTTCACTGGCCGAAAATGCTCTCTCTTTTTTTCTGTTTTGCTTTTTTTTTTCAGCCCGCCCATGTGGCGGAAGAGAGAGAAACACCAAACCTTAGGGGCTTTTTACCTATTGATCAACAGATTACGAGTTCAAGTCCCGGAGGAATCAGATCGATACCCCAAACCTTAGGGGCTAACCCCCCTTGGGCATTCGGAAGAAAAAACACGGAATTATTTCCCCCTTGGGGATTTCCGAGGAGGGGAGGGAGGGGGGGAGGGGAATGATTTCGCATTTTTCCTTTTCTCAATTGGCCATTGCTTGTCACCATTCTTACTCTCCGTGCTTCGCTTTACTGAATAAATCAATGATGATCGGCCAACTAGCCCCCTCGGGGATTGTTTTAAGAAAAAATGAAATATAAGTATAAAGAAAATGATTTACTGACATTTTAAAAAATGACATATTGATACAAAAAAAGGATATCGTTTTTCTCCCTTCTTATGCTGTCCACAAACCTCGGATTTTTTAAGGAAAAAATGATACATTGATATCAAAAAAATGATATATTTATTGATATAAATATATGACATATGGATCCGAAAAAAAAGACATATTGATACAAAAAATATATATATGTATACATATTTTTATTTTTTAAATGATTTCGTTTTTCTCCCTTTCTGCTCTCTCCAAACCTCGGAAAATTACTCCTTTGAAGAGAAGCCCTTTCTTTAGTCGTCACTGCGATCTCTCATGCGAGAGGGGAGAGAGAGAGAGAGAGAGCGCACCGCGAGAAGATAAGGAAATCGCTCCTCGCTCTCTCATCCAGGGTCTGAACCCCTCTCTCAAGCAGCCAAGCATCATGCTCCATGTATTTGGCCGCCCTTTCAAGTCCATTCCAGCAGGGCCCACCGCACTCTGGCCCGCTCTCCTTCTCCTGTCTCTCGATTCCCCTCTTCCCAGAATCATTGTTGCCGATCTCGAAACAGAATGAATGGGGAGTGAGCAATTCCACCTCCCTCTCCCTCTCCCTCTCCCTCTCCTCCTCATCTTCAATTGCACACTCCCCATTCATTCTCTCTGCCCTTTTAATCCTTGTCCCCAAGACTCCACAGAAAGTCCATCGGGATCTCTGTGCCCGAGCAGCGGTGGTCTCCACCTCCTCCTCCTCCTCCTCCTCCTCCTCCTCCGTCTTCCACATAAGGATCCCTCTCTTTCCTCCTCTCCGACTTCGTCTTCCGCCTACTCCTCCCTGCCTCCTAGAGGCTGCATAACTGAAGCGCTCGCTCTGCCGGCATCGGCATGCAAACCCCCGTGAGCAACCGACACGTGTCATAATCCCTCCATAGCTGCGCGCAAGCCCGCAGGGAAAAGAAGCCACCACGCCTACGTGGTCATCTCCACTGCCTGCGTTCGCCGCCGTTGATGGCGCCATCCCTGTTGCTAGATCGCACGACGACGACTGGGCTCGAACCTCTGCCCCATGAACGATAGTTAGATGAGCGCCGCCAGCGCCAGCTGGCAAGAGCGTGCGGGAGCATATCGACTGACACGTCGGCAGCGACATGAGGCGGTGACCGTGACACGTGGCGAGGCGGTGACTGTGACACGTGGCGATGGGAGCTGTTGCGTGCAAGAACAAGGACCCGCCCGCGTGCGTGTTAACGGCTCGGCCGCGCATTCTTATACGATGACGATGGTTTACTCACGCACGGGCCGGGTCGCCAACGCAGGTCCCGAATTTAGAGGGTCGGGGAAGGGGCGGGATGGGCGAGGCCGGCCGGACTACCCACCCAATTTGAGGCGGCGTCGTGAGAAAATTCAAAAAGGAACTTCGAAATTGGAAGTCGGGGAGCGCCGGTACCGGGCGGGTAGCGGAGGGCTGCGGCCTCCGGCATCGCTCTCTCACTACGGCAGAGAGCGCTGTTCGACCGTCCACTCCGCCGCTGCGACGGGGAACGGAAGTACTGCTCGGCGGAAAAAGTGGTTGGCCATAAAAAGCCGTGGAACGACGGCGGAAAGACTCTGCCGGGTTTCCGTGGGACCCCACCGCCAAAGCTCTGGAAACAGCAAAACATACCCGAAAAGGAAACGTCGGAGGGTCTCCCCCTGAAAAGGAAAGCTGGGATGGGATTGCGGTGCACCAAATTCGTCCGTCCCTGGACCAGGACATGTCGGTGTGCGGCACTGCGTGGCAGTGCGGTGCACCAAATTCGTCCGTCCCTGGACCAGGACATGTCGGTGTGCGGCACTGCGTGGCAGTGTGTGATGTGTGGCATAGAATAGGTGGCGGGGTACTTC